ATTATACATTTAAATATACAACTGGGTTGAACCATGTGGATTTCCAGTCACAAATGCTAAACTTGTAAATGTTTAAATCCATGGATTTTGATTATTTTTATTCAATTATGTGCACATATTAAGCAATTATAATACAAACAATTTTGGGTATCATATCATATCACCTACTTAATATCTTAAATTTTTTTGAGCAGTACTATACAATATGGGATGGTTCATAATTGTCACCAAATCTGACTTCAAAATAATTACTTGTAGTATAAATAACCAGTAAATGGAAATTACTCCAATTATGCAATTTACCAAAGCATCTTTATATTTTCTCCTGAAAATAAAACTGACATGGATAAATAAAAATATCAAGATAAGTCAATCATCTGATTTACAGATAAACATAATTCTTACAAAAAATGCAGAGAAATAATAAGTAATGTTTGTGCATGGAAGCTTGGTGTATAATCCCTAAGTACCCTGAGCGACTGAGTGACTTATCCAGTAAATTGTATGTTAAAAATGGATGGAATACTATCAGTAAAATTTGAAACAAATTACTGAAAAATCATTATAGTACACGTGAATCAACACTTCATTAGCTAAGTTATATGCAAACACACACCTAAAATAAAATTAGAAGACTATCTTTCCATCATACACTGTCATTTCCACTCTTTCACAAAGAAAAATTACATTCACATGGCGAGTCCCCCTGTAACCTCAACACAGGTACCAGTCATGTAGCTGCTCTTGTCTGAGAGAAGGAAGGCCACAACCTCTGCAATTTCTGATAAACGAGAACAATAAACCATTAAATACATTCAACGTATCCACTGAAAATGTTATGTAATTACCATGACTTGAAAATATAACTGCAAGTTCATAATATCTAAACTTGAGTTGCCATTGTTGTACTATGAAAAGAAAAAAAAATGGAAAAGAAAATTCATTCACCTTCAGGTTCTGCTACTCTATGAAGAGGAATCAGCTTCAGTAACTTCTCAATTACTTTATCAGGGACAGTTTCCGTCATTGGGGTTCTGGTGAAGCCTGGCAGAACACTGTTGACACGTATACCCAGTCTGGAAAACAAAGAAGTATACATTCCTGTCTCCTCTTTTTTCCAATCACAAAGACCAAAGCCCTTTATCAACCCAAAGAAATTGGCACTCTATATATGGTATTTCATTTACTAAATTCATTTGATAAATTTCAGTGAGCAGAAAGGACTTCATGATTTTAGACCAGAATTTATATGATTCCCATGATAATACTTCTTTTAATATGCATTTACTACAATGGATTTTAGATCTTTACATTTCAAAAACCTGACAACTCTCGCCATCACACAGTTTCCTGCTATAGGCTTAACTCATTTATAAAATCGCAGGATATTTTTAATTCTGTATTTTTTATAATTCTTTGTAGTTTAATTATTACTATGCATCTACATTCTGGTAAGTTGATGAGTAGCTGTTTCTAGTGCAAACACTGGAACTTTCCCAAGTCATTTGATGGGAGCAGTTATCTCACCATACTGATGTGAATTAAATGACACCCTATGTCTCTGATAATGATTAATGAAATCTTAAAGTTAAAATGTTTCTTTTTTCTAAGAGTTTTCTGTCTCTTTTCACATGTAATTATCTTTCTTCATTTACAACAAATTCCATTCAAATATAAAATGAAGGACTTTTCAGGTTCTAATTCAGGGTATGGGTATGAAGCTCCATCCATGAATTAAAATTAAGAACAAGTAAAATATTGCTGTGAACACTGTTTGTGCATCGCGGTATGCATTTGTTTTTTTTTTACATGAAAAAGAGGCATGAAGAAGGGGGAACTGTGGGAAGATGGATGGACACGGACACATGCATACGTGTGGTGCCAGAGAGACTTATGTTTTTCAGCACATGTGAAGAGTGTCATGCCCTAGCCAGCCTCATGCCACTTTCCTAGAGCCATACTGCATCAGCCACTTAAATGCTATGTCGTTATATACAGCAGAAAGAAAGACATTGCAAGCTTTAGTGACTAGCACTGCCTGTGACTATCATAGTGACGTCATGATGTATAGAGTAGAATAAGGGAGAAATAGTGAAGTCCCATCTTTCTCTCACCAATGTCACACTGTTGCAAGGAGGATTTGTAACAATATATAAACTTTACATTCAAAGAAGCTAAGAAAATGTACAACCAATTGCAGCATCTACATTGCTTCCAATTTCCCTCAGCCATCAGAGGAATTTTTATCCTAGAAAATATGAAAGTATGTCTTGACAGCTTTACTCACTTGGCTAATTCTCTTGCTGCTGTCTTAGTAAAGCCATTAACAGCAGCCTTGCTAGCTGCATAGTTGCACTGGCCCAGGTTTCCAGTCTTGCCAATAATACTAGACAGATTTACTATTGCTCCGTCTTTCAAACCATGTTCAACAAGCTGGCCCGCTACCAACTGTGTGACTAAAAAGGACCCCTGAAAGAGAAGAGGCAAGTGAAGACAAATA